TCAGGGCAAATTTGGGGTTTCTTGATTAATAAGGCAATTTTTGTTTCTTGATTTTGGATTTTTTTTTTTGTCTGCTTGGGGTTTCTGATTAAGTCATATGTTGAATTAGCCTTCTTTCACAGTTCTTGAGTGTTAATGAGGAACAATTGAATTTACAGCATACAATTGAATTTACTGCAATGTACAGGTTCTTTTCAGGATTTGTTGTTTTATTGGCTTTCATGATTTTGCTAAATCAGGTTCTGCTTGTTGTGTAAAACTGTTCATAATCTCCAGCTAGGCAGACTGTATATGTTGTATTTTTTTTCTTGTTTGTATTGTTCAATGAAAATTGTATGGTTTATTTTCAGTATATTACTAGTCATGTTATGTTGTTTTCATTTTTTTTCTTCTTATGACATTAACAGGAAGAAGTTCGACAGTATGTAATAGTTAAAAATTTTATAGTATGGGTTTATAGTCAGTATATTTTCGGTATATTCTGTCGTTAAAGATTTATAGTCAAGGTTTATAGTCAGTATATGTTCAGTATATTTTCGGTATACTCTCAAAAGAGCAATATTTAAAAAAAAAGATATATATACCATTAAGAAACGATATATATACCATTAAAAAAAACGATATATAAACCATTCAAAAACTAAAAACCCCATTTACTGAATGATCAAAGATAAAACAAAAAATATAAAATATAAAATTATTAGAAAACATAATGTTTTGATAGAAAACATGTTTTTCATTGCAACATATATTGAAAATATACTAACATAAACCCAATATATACCAACTGACAGCTGCGTGAATTAAGGAATTCAAGTTGCGCGAATCTATATATATATAATAAGAATTAACATTTACCATAAATAGTAGTAAGGAAAAGTCAACCACATTTATTATATACTATTTTCAGCAACTTTTACATTTTACATTTTAATTTTAATTCATTATCAAAAAATTGTATGGTTCCTAAATTAGTGGGTTTTAAATGCACGTATCATGTTTCAAAAATTATAAATAATTTAAAATCGGAGGGCTCCTAAATTAATGGTTACAAACTTTTCAAAGTTGTAATCTTTATGGCATCTTTTCTTTCTGACTTTTAGTAATAAAATTATTTTAAATATATATATTCTAATCCAAAAATTCAATCATGTTAAATATATATATATATATTGAACGCTAAAAATATTTTTTAATTGCATACTCAATTAATTAATCTTATTTTTTTTAAATTACTTAATATGCATAAAATAAAAATAAATAGTTCATCGTTAGATATATAATTTATAATCTTAATATACTATCATTTGGTGTAGACATATGAATCATAAATATTTTTATTTCATAAAATTAAATATTATATTTAAAGAAAATAAGAAAATTACTTTGGATCAATCGAGTGATTGAATTAGGGTACTGTCCACTTTGATTGAATTATTTTTAGGTGATATTTAAAATTGTCAAAAAACTTGACACAACTTGGTTGGTCCGGTGTAACTAAGTTATGTATCAGTTTGACCAAACCAAATTGTTTATTTAACCTAAATATAAATTTTAATATTGAAAATACTTTATTACATGAATGTGATGTAGTCCAAACTTCAAATAATCATATTAACAATACTTTTATGACGACATGAATAATGATTTATGAATATTTATATATCATTTTATTATTATTTATGTGAACAAAATATTTATTTCATTATCATTTTTATTAATATACGGTAAATATAAGGTTTTCAGAATCGGACCGTCTTGTGGTTGTTCAGATTTTAATACATAATACTTTAATATATATATATATATATATATATATATATATATATATATAGTTCTTTTTGTAATAAATTTAAATAAAAAGTGTTACTTAAATATCTAAACAATTTATAAATTCATATGTTTAAACTAATTGATAAACTAAATCTCTATTTTATTTAAATATGTAATTTTATTTAAAATAATTTTTCATGTAACAAAATTTGTTTACAAAATCGTATCGATCTTACCAGTCCAACATACTGGTGTTGGCGGATTCGATAGTAAATATTTTATTCAAGCGCACTATATTGTTATAAACCGGTTCTCGGTCCATGCGGTCGGACTGTGTCCAACCCAGTTTAATTTATAAATAATGGGTAAATCATGATTAATGTTATTTATTTATTTATTTATAATAATACAATCACAATATTATTTTTCCGTGCATCGCACGGGCCACGTACTAGTTAAGGAATTACATGAGTCAGTTATTTATTTTCATTTCTCTCTCTTCATCATGCCCATAATTAAAAGGGGGATGGAGGTGAGAAGAATATGGTAACTGACTTTAGGCATTAATATAGATAAATAAAGTCTTTTAAGTAGAGACATAATTATTTCAACTTATGGTAAAGTTGCAATTAATTTAAAATCACATAGTATAAATAAAAATTTCCCTTTTTAAAAGGCATTGGGAGCTCGTTAGGCGGCAGGCTAAGCCAAGCACCTAGAAAGTCTAGGCGGGGATTAGTCAGGACCTAGCAGGGTCGTAAAAATACATATAAAATTATTTATATATAAACTCATGCATAACTTACAAATTACATTTTATAAATTATACTAATTATTATGGTTAAATAAAAAGATTTTTAATATCTTATGTACTTATAACTATTATATTTATTTTAGGTAGTTATATTTTTTTATTTTACAATTATTGTATATTTCATGTATAATAATCAAAATTTATTTATAATATATTTTAAAACAAATTAATAAACATGAAAAAAAATTATACAGACGACAGACTGTCTAAGTTTCCGCGTAGATCACCTAACAATGGCGTGACTAACTTCGCAATCACCTAGACCACTTAGGCGCCACCTAATTGTCTTAATGCCTAGAAGGGCCACCTAGGCGAAATCCCTGCTGCCAACTGACTTTTAGTACAGTGCTATTTGTATGATCCAACACATGAATTCATTGATTGTTAAACATGACATAAAAAGTATTGCGATTAACCAAAATATATGCTTATACTATATGGTCAATGCATTATACCTTTTGAACAGAAATATGTATATATTTGTATAATAAATATCATATGTTTGTTTAGGACTATAACGTTAGCAACGCTAAACCAACACACTCAAAACACAACATAAACACAACCACAAGCTCTCAGATAAGAGAATTAACGATCCCACCGAGATAATACCCATTCTCACTTAGGTATAAAAAGAGGCCAAAAGCCCAAACAAAAAACACAGCTCCTACCAAACAAAGCAAATAAACAAACACAACTAAAACGAAACAAAAACGACTACAACTACCAAACGAGCCTTTCCTCAACAATTCGATCGAACGGAGCCAGCGGACAAACAATCGACCCCTAGGAAAAATCCACAGCCCGAGAAATCGCTTCCGAAACTACCGAAAACCATCTAACTGAAACGGAATCTGATCAAGCCCCAACCCCAACCTGAGAGCCGACTCGTCCCCTCGCCGAAGGAAACCAAACTCGCCCCCCACACCACCGCTGCCCCGAACGGCCAACACCACTAGCCGAAACGGCAGTAGCGGTCTCCCCCGGACCCAACACCAGAGAAACAAGGGAAAGGGGAGCGAGAGAGGCGCCTCAGCCCCGGCCGCCCTGACGCAAAAGATGCGAGCCCGAGCCACTCCCAGCCTCTGAAACCACCCCCACCCAATCGCCACCGCAAACTCAAGAAGGCGGACTGCCAGACTGCACCCCAACACCCTAAACAACGACCGAACGCGGATGACCGACCCTATCCATCGGCGCAACTGAGACGAAGGGACACACATCAAGGCCAAGATCGCGCGGCCGAGGGCCAACCGCCGGCAAAAGGCCCGACGACCGCTGAGGAAGGCAGATGGGAGACGAAGATTAAAAAGCGATGGCAGAAGAGAGAAAGGGGAAAGGAGAGAAAATTAGGGCTTGAAGTGGATACTTGTTAGTATTATTTCAGTTTGTTGAAAATTGTAAGAATCGGCGGTAGAAACAAACGGGTGCGGCTCTACGTAGATGAAGCGCACCAACAGGGAAAATCCAGATTAAGCCGAAGTGAGGTTCCATTGCAAAACCAACTGGTGTAGCCCACTAGTCTTATAAGTTGGATCTATTTTTCCTGTATAAACAATGTGAGACAACTCACAAGTGGTATTATATACTAGTACGCCCTCTCACTTGTGAGTCCTTCATACGAACCCCAAGTCCGACTGGGCTGGAAAACGAGTACGTGATCGCACAATCCCAAGTAGAACCGGCTCTAATACCATGTAAGAATCGAGGGCAAAAACAAACGGGTGCGGTCCCATACAGATGAAGCTCTAAGAAAAATGTATTATGTGAACTTAATGATTATACAAGAAAATGCTACAGTCCCGAGTATACGTGTATTTTAATATTCATTATGTACTGCTGCTAATGCAAGTAATAATAATAATAATAATAATAATAATAATCTCAAAAGGTGACTGACAAAAAAAAAGCATTTGATTAATCAAGGTATCATGATTCATGCACAATGGTAAAATGGTTTTGGATCCTTTTGTGGTGTGAAGTGACTTATAAATTGACCACATTCGTTGTATAATTCTCACCTGTACTGAGTCATTTCTCTCAGTGCTCTTTTGTTTTTCTCCCCTCCTTTTTTCTCTTTGTTTTTCCTCATTTTTGCTTTGGAGGAAAATTAAAGAGTTTCTGTGCAAGGAGCTTCAAAGCACGAAGCACACTCCTCTTTTCATCATCAATTCATTCTCCTCTG